TGTCCCCGCGGTGACGCGCTGTCCCCGGGTGTCCCCGGGTGTCCCCGCTGTCCCCGCGGTCACGCGCTGTCCCCGGGTGTCCTGGGTGTCCCCCGTTGTCCCCGTTGTCCCCGCGGTGATGCGCTGTCCCTGGGTGTCCCCGCTGTCCCCTGCTGTCCCCGTTGTCCCCGCTATCCCCGCGGTGACCCGCTGTCCCTGGGTGTCCCACTGTCCCCTGCTGTCCCCGTTGTCCCCGCTATCCCCGCGGTGACGCGCTGTCCCCCGCTGTCCCCGCTGTCCCCTGCTGTCCCCGTTGTCCCCGCTGTCCCCGCGGTGACGCGCTGTCCCCCAGCTCCGCAGCGAGTACATGCAGAGCTACGCCAGCAAGGTCAGCGAGGGCATGGCGCTGCAGCTGGGCTGCCTGGAGCTCAGGTACGGCTGTCCCTGTGTCCCCTGTGTCCCCTGTGTCCCCTCCTGTCCCCTGTGCCCCCTGTGCCCATGGCGCTGCAGCTGGGCTGCCTGGAGCTCAGGTACGGCTGTCCCTGTGTCCCCTGTGTCCCCTGTGTCCCCTCCCCCACCCCGTGTCCCCTCTGTCCCCCGTGTCCCCTCCCCCACCCGGGAACTTTCCCACGCCCGGGGGTCCCTTTTGGGGGGGGGGTGGGGGAGGGGTTTGGGGACATCCCGGCGGTGACCGCGGTGACGCGCGGGGGTGGCGGGGTCGCGCGGGGACACAGGGGACAGAGGTGACACATTCCGGCCGGTGCCACCCGGGGCAGAGTCCGCGCGGGCCAAAGTGCGCGGCTGGGCGTGGGGACAGCGCTGCCACCCCGTGTCCCCGTGTCCCCGAGGGTCCCCGAGGGTCCCCGAGGGTCCCCAGGACAGGGGACAGCACGGGGGTGGCGCCGCTGGGCTGGCGGTGACAGCCGCGTGACAGCGGGGGTGGCACTGGGTGGGGACGGGCGGGCCGTGAGCCGTGACCGGCTTCTGTCCCTGTCCCTCTGTCCCTGTCCCTCTGTCCCTGTCCCTGTCCCCACCTCATTCCTGACCCTGTCCCCATTCTTGTCCCTGTCCCTGTTCCCAATTCCTGTCCCTGTTGTCCCCATTCCTGTCCCTTGTCCCTGATCCCTGTCCCCACCTCATTCCTGTCCCTGTCCCTGGTGTCCCTGTCCTCTTGTCCCCATCCCCATCCCTGCTGTCCCTGTCCCCATCCCTGTCCCTGTCCCCATCCCTGTCCCTGCTGTCCCTGTCCTCTTGTCCCTATTCCTGTCCCTGTCCCGATCCCCGTCCCTGTCCCCATCCCTGTCCTGACCCTTGTCCCCATCCCTGTCCCCTCTCCCTGTTCCTGTCCCTGCTGTCCCCATCCCTGTCCCCATCCCTGTCCCTATCCTCGTCCCTTGTCCCCGTCCCCACCTCCATCTCTGTCCCTGCTGTCCCCATCCTGTCCCCTCTCCCTGTCCCTTGTCCCCCATCCCTTGTCTCTGTGTCCCCACCATCCCTGTCCCCTTGTCCCTATTCCCTGTCCCTGTCCCCGTCCCTGTCCCCATCATCCCTGTCCCCATCACTGTCCCTTGTCCCCATCCCTGTCCCCCTGTCCCTGTCCCCATTCCTGCCCCCGTCCCTGTCCTTTGTCCCCTTGTCCCTGTCCTTGCTGTCCCTGCCCCGTCCCTGCCCCTCATCCCTGTCCCCATCCCTTGTCCCAATCCCTGTCCTCGTCCCTGTCCCCCTATCCCTGTCCCGTTGTCCCTGTCCCTGTCCCTGTCCCTGTCCCCAGGGTGTCCCCAAGCCCTTCACCGAGGTGATCAAGGCCAACATCGGTGACGCGCACGCCATGGGCCAGCAGCCCATCACCTTCCTGCGCCAGGTACGGCCGGGACGCGGGGACACGGGGACACGGGGACACGGGGCCACCGGGGCCAGCGGGGCCAGCGGGCGGGCACTCACCGGGCTGTCCCCGCGCAGGTGACAGCGCTGTGCCTGTGCCCGGAGCTGATGAAGGACGAGTCCCTGCCCAGCGACGCCAAGGAGCGCGCGCAGCGCCTGCTGGGGGCCTGCGGCGGCCAGAGCGCGGGTGGGTGGCACAGCCCGAAACCCCGAAATCCCACAAACCCCAAAATCCCTGCAGCGGCCAGAGCGTGGGTGGGTGACACACCCCAAATCCCAAACCCAACACCCCAAAATCCCACAAAGCCCAAAATCCCCAACACCCCAAAACCCCAAAATCCCACAAACCCCAAAATCCCTGCAGCGGCCAGAGCGTGGGTGGGTGACACACCCCAAATCCCAAACCCAACACCCCAAAATCCCACAAGGCCCAAAATCCCCAACACCCCAAAACACCAAAATCCCACAAACCCCAAACCCCCAAATCCAACACCCCAAAATCCCACAAGCCCCAAAACCCCAAAATCCCACAAAGCCCAGAACCCCAAAATCCTAAAGTCCCAAATTAAACAAACCCCAAAATCCCAAATCAAACAAACCCCAAAATCCCAAATCCCACACCCCAAAATCCCACAAACCCCAAAATCCCTGCAGCGGCCAGAGCGTGGGTGGGTGACAAACCCCAAAATCCCAAATCCAACACCAAAATCCCAGAAACCCCAAAACCCCAAAATCCCACAAAGCCCAAAACCCCAAAATCCTAAAGTCCCAAATTAAACAAACCCCAAAATCCCAAATCAAACAAACCCCAAAATCCCAAATCCCACACCCCAAAATCCCACAAACCCCAAAATCCCCAACACCTGACATTCCAAAATCCCACAAACCCCAAATCACCAAAATCCCAACATCCCAAAATCCCAAATCCAACAAAGCTCAAAATCCACAAATCCCAAAACCTCAAAATTCCAAATGCAACAAACCCCAAAATCCCAAAACCCCCAAATCCCAAATCCAACACCCAAACCGTCAAATCCCCAAATCCCAAATCCAACAAAGCCCCAAATCCCAACATCCCCCAAACCCTCAAATCCCCAAATCCCAAATTCAACAAAGCCCCAAATCCCAACATCCCAAAATCCCAACGTCCCAAAATCCCACAAAACCCAAAATCCCAAAATCTCAAAATCACAAATCAAACAAACCCCAAAATCCCAAAACCTCAAAATCACAAATCAAACCCCAAAATCCCAAATCCAACACCCAACATCCCAAAATCCCAAAATCTCACAAACCCCAAAATGTCAACATCTGAAAACCCCAAAACCCCAAAACCTCCAAACCCCAAATTCAACAAACCCCAAAATCCCAAATCCGCCCCAAAACCCCAAAACCCCAAATTCAACAAACCCCAAAATCCCAAATCCAACAGTCCCAAATCCCCAAAACCCAAAATCCCAAAATCCCACAAGCCCCAAAATCAAAATCCCAAAACCCCAAAATCCCAAATCCAGCAGTCCCAAATCCCAAAATCTCACAAACCCCAAAATCCCAAATCCAACACCCCAAAATCCCCAAATCCCAAAATTTCAACGTCCCAGCACCCAACTCCACCCATCCCCCAATGTCCCCAATGTCCCCAAATGTCCCCAATCCCCCAAAGTCCCAAATATCCCCAATGTCCCCAAGGTGTCCCCAATGTCCCCAACGCCCCCCAATATCCCCAATATTCCCAACGTCCCCAATGCCCCCCAGTGTCCCCCAATGTCCCCAATACCCCCTCCCAATTTCCCCCCAATGCCCCCCCAATCCCTCCCTCCAATGTCCCAAATATTCCCAATCCCCCCGATGTCCCCAATGCCCCTGAGTGTCCCC